TTATCTTCACAATTACCTTGTATTGTTATAGTTAAGAGTATTTAGCAATTACCATATTTCCCGATACTGTATCTCAGAGAGGGGTAAAAACAGAGTAGACAGTGAAATGGAAGGAAGGAAGGAAGGAAGGAAGGAAGGAAGGAAGGAAGGAAGGAAGGAAGGAAGGAAGGAAGGAAGGAAGGAAGGAAGGAAGGCTGTGCATCTTAAACTAAGAAGAATTTTCTTTTTTCACTTAGTCACACACCCCTACACACAGTCCAGCTCATACCCCTTCCAAACACATATTCCCATCAGGGATGATTCTCACAGTGGGATTCCTACAACACAAAATGGCTGTGGTGGTGGCCACTGTATGCCAACTATGCAATGAAGTAAACCATGCTGAAACAGAGATTCCCCTTCTGGAATTGTTGGTCCTATGCAGTGTTCCCTCTAAGCTGAGTTAGTGTGAGCTAGCTCACTTTTTTTTAGCTTCCAGCTCACACATTTTTGTCTTAGCTCAGGAAGGATGGCTCCAACGCAAACTAATTTATGCAGTAGTCAAATTGTTTGCTCACAGCTTTAATGCCAGTAGCTCACAAAGTAGAATTTTTGCTCACAAGACTCCACAGCTTAGAGGAATCATTGGTCTCATGTCTTATCCTTTCCCATAACTCCTATTTGCCAGAATGCAATCATGGGAACAGTTGCAGATTATGGGATGGATCCAGGACAAAATTTCCTCTTATGCCAGAGCTCTTGACCAAGTGGACATACAAGAAAAAGACCACAGTAGTTGCCTATGCTAACTCAGAATTATTGTATTTCCGCTTGCACAAAATCTTGTGCAACCAGTTTTGGAGCACTATAATATATAGTAGGAAAGTACTAGAAGTTGCGCGTATGTTTCTGCTTGCTCACTGCTGGATCTAAACCACTGTCTCTGAAAAGAAAACTACAGTGTGGATTCTTGGGTATTATACTTTATAAAAAGTACGATAAACCCCATGTACATGAAGCTGAGTTCCTTGGAGGAAGGCAGGATACAAATGTGACTAATTTTTTATTTATCTATTGTTATTTGTTTACTTTATTTGTATCCTGCCTTTCTCTCCAGTGGGGACCCAAAGTGGCTTCCATCATTCTCCTCTCCTCTATTTTATTCTCACAACAACCCTGTGAAGGAGGTTAGACTGAGAATGTGTGACGGGCACAAGGTCACCCAGCAAGCTTCCATGGCACAAGTGGGGATTTGAACCCAGGCCAGATAAAAGTCCAGCACTCTTAACCACTACACCACACTGGCAATAATAATAATAATAATAATAATAATAATAATAATAATAATAATAATAATAATAATAATAATAATAATAATCCCCCCTTCTTATGAGCATTTAGTTTCAGGAACTTCAGAACCGAAGACATCAAATTAATGATGATCTGAAGAACAGCAAACGAGAGGTTGCAGAACTGAGCCGAATAACACAGAGACTGCTCTGTGATCTGGAAAAAGTCAAGAAGCAGGTAAAGAGAGGCAAAACCCTTTAGCCTTACTATGTACATTTGGGGGGGGGGTGTTCCCAGATGTGACAGTCTTGTACAGTTAGCAGAACACCATCTGTAGTGCCTTCTGCATTCTGGGAAATGTAGTTCTTTGAATGTTTGAGATGTATGTTTTCTGGAATGCATTGAATGCTATGGATTTTATCTATTCCAACAACTAGGAGTGGAAATAAAAAAGAGAAAAGGAGAACAGAAGAAGAATGGAGGGCTGATTTCCACTACCACCATTACCCATCAGGAGGACAGTTGTGGGGATGGTATAGTTAGGGGTCATTTAGTAGAAAAAGAGGTGCAGGAGCTCATTAGCATAACTTTTTGCATATGCCACACCCCCTGACATCACCGGAAGTGTGTCAGAAGGCAACACCCATCGCTCAGGCTCCACTGGACTGTTTTGGATTGCTAGCTATTGGGGGGGGGGAATGTGCAGATCTGCCCTCACAGAGGGGGGGTGACTTGTCAGAGCTTGTACCTGAAGGTGGCCAGAGGGGGGGGCTCTCTGGCTGCTTCTTGCTCCTTGTGACCCTACTGAGGGCTGCTGGGAGCAGGGGGTGGGGCTTGTTATATATGCCCGCTCCCTGAGCTCCTTACTGCCGGAGCTCTGCTCCTGTGCGCTCCTGCAGGAAATGACCCCTGGGTATAGCACAGGAGAAGGGAATTGTGGAGGGATGACTGAGAATCCTGTGGTGCCCTGATGTCATCCTTAGATATGCCATAATATCCCATGCTCTCCAAAAGCTAGGGTAAAATGAGCTTTGCATTAAAGAACTTCTGAATTGTCTTCTCCTTTTCTGTTGCTTTGGTAACAGTCAAATGTTCACGCAAACAGAATAGGCAAGGCTCGGCCAAATCCCTGTTAACTTCTCCTTCAAACTGAGGAGCAGCTGGCTGCCACGATCCCGTCATCATTAGTGCTAAAATGCATTTGAAGCAGGGAGAACATTCACACAAATTCTCAGACAGGGATGCAGAAACATTCTCGCACTCAGACGGCGCTGGTTTTGAATGGCATCTCAAGATCTCCAACACTGTTTGAATTTTATCCTGAGTGAATTTAGAGGGATGAACGACTAGTTTTTATTTATTTATTCTTGGATTTATATCCTGCCCTCCCCGCAGACGGGCTCAGGGCGGCTCACATAAGTTTTACGTGCCAGTGCCTGAGAGAAAGTACTTATTGTGCTTAATCCACTGGCAGGTCGCGTCTTTGCAGTCGACTGTTTTTGATACCGAGTATCACGGCGATTTGACTCTGAAGGATGCCCAGGAGAATCTGGATAAGCTCCACAGCGCCCTGCATAAATCCAAGGATGAGCTGGCATGCATGTTGAGGAACTATCAGGAGCTTCTCAATGACAAGCTGGCCCTAGATATTGAAATAGCGACATATAATTCATTGCTGGAGGGAGAAGAAAACAGGTATTAATCTTCTACTTTTAGAGGTCACTACTCAGAGCCAAACTAGGTGGTACTTTTCTTACACATTCTGCCATGGGGACTCACAGCCATACTAATTAATTAATTAAATGGCCAGGAGACCCAAAGATTGTGAGCCGCAAGGATTGTTTTTAGGGGCTGAGAGAACTCCAAAAGAACTCTGACTGGTCCAAGGTCTCCCAGCTGGCTTCACATGGAGGAGTGGGGACTTGAACCTGGTTCTCTGGATTAGAGTCTGCTGCTCTTAACCACTACACCAAACTGGCTCTCTTGCAGCCATACTGTAGGCAGTGGCATGGGGGAAGCAAGGGCTCCTGCCTCCCCCTGTGCTGATTTCACCAGCTGAAACGACCAGGGGACTGTGGGGTCAGGCCTTATTCACCTTGTTGGGAGGCTACATATGCACGGAGTGTTTGCATGTGCAGCCTCCTGACAGGACAAATAAGTACCATCCCCCCCTCCGCAGCCCCTGTGTCATTTTAGCAGCTGAAAATGGCAAAGAGGCAGAGGCAGGAGCCCCTTTTCTCTGGGCACCACTGTCCTGATTAGAATTGAGCCCAGCTGTGCTTTTTACTCATGAGTTGCCATGGGGACTCACAGCTGCTGTATGTCTGCAAATCCCCATGGCAAACTTGTGAAAAAAACTAGCCTTTAGTTTGGCTTTCAGTATGGAAGTGTTTGGGTCAATTCATCTGAAACCACTAGCAAAGATCTGACTCAAAAACAGTTCAGCCAAAAATGGGACTGGACTACTGAAGCCAGCAGATGAAGAATTGCATATTTGAACATTCCCATATAGTTTTTTTTTTAAAAAAGGATCATTTCATACAGAAGTGATCTGCAAATTCCCTGTGTGCGCACACAACGGACACCTGCCTTGATTCAAACCTGGCCCCAGCAAACCAAGCTATTTCTAAACCCAGAAGCCTCCTGCACTCTTTGTGATATAATCAGGGTCACTGCTGGGTTCCTGAATACTTCTCCATGCCCTTGAAGGGAGATCTCTCGCTCACTCTCCGTCTCCATGGCCCCCCCCCCGGAACCTTGAACTCTGTTATCGCGTGTCACAACAATCCCTTGGAAATGTCATTTTCCCAGAATGCCTATGGTTCTTAATATAGACATCAGGTGCCATACATACCAGAGTTCCTGGATTCTGGGATACTGTTGAAGTAGCATTCAAGGTGATGGGGGGGGGGGAGGGTTTTATTTCAGCCAGAACCAAGAAAGAAGTCTTTTTCAAGCAGACAACTAAAGTGGAAATTTGACAAACAGAAACTTAAAAACGCACATACCACACAAATACACTCCTTCGATTTAACTGCAGCAGCTCCAGCTGAGAATATATATGGCCGCAAACTCAAGTTCATTGCTGTGCAATATATCAAAAGGCAGGGATTCTTAAACCAAAACTAATTCCTCCATATACTGTGGAACAAAGTAAATGTTACAGTTTTTAAAGAGTTGGGTCTCAGTTCCCTGGAGCCAGTTTTTATTCCCTACAGCCACACAGTAGCTGTGGGCAACAGCATCTAAAACGGGGAGGGGGGGGGAGGGCCCAAACAGCCTTGGAATGGGACTGAAGGGAATCTCAAGGAATGGGACTTAAGGAATCTCAAAGTAGTTTACCATTGCCTTCCCTTTCTCTTCCCACAACAGGCACCTTTTGAGGAAGGTGGGACTGAAAGGGTTCTGAGAGAACTGTGACTGGCTCAAGATCACCCAGCAGGCTCCATATAAAGAAGTGGGGAATCAAACCTGGTTCTCCAGATTAGAGCCTGCTGCTTTTAACCATCACACCACTCTGGCCATTATTGTTTTTATTCCATTTCTCTTGTTTTATTTGCCATTTCAATTTGTTCATCACTTTGTGAATTTTCTAAACAGCGAAGTGGCATATACGGTTTTGGAATAAATACAGTAAATAAGTATTGCAAATATTTTCCTAACAATGTGAATATTATCTGTGTTTAGCTAGCTATCTTCTATCTAATCTAATCCAATATAATCTAATAAGAGAAAATCTGGGTTTTCACATGATTTATAAACAATTTTCCCTAACAGGTTAATTTCTGGGAATCTTGTGAATATAGGTAAGTAACTATACAGTTTCCTTTTTGGAACTCCAAATATTGTACCTTATATATGGACATGTGAAGCCACAGAATGATGTTGGTAGGGGGGGGGGGGGGGAATGCAGAAAGAAGAAAAATAACAGAACAAAGAGAACAGAGCCAGAACCCCACCCCACCCCGCTGTCCTCGTTTTCTACTTGCAGGGCAATTTTTCTATTGGGTTACATTCAAAATGGCATCCTGAAATGATACACACAGAGCCATCTTATTCTGATATATGTGTATCCAACCTCATGGTTCATTTTCAAGCCTGGCAAAACCTCTCCAGGATTCAAGGCTGAGGTCTGTCCCAGTACTCCTGCTATCTGAAATTGTTTAATTGGAGCTACTGGAATGTAAACCTTGTTTATGCAAAATGTGCATTCAGCCATCCTCTATCATCTATCTATCATCTATCTATCATCTATCTATCTATTAGATTTATACCCCGTCCTTCCCACCAAGGCAGGCTCAGGGCGGATTACATATATTAAAAAAAATTAAAAACAGAATAAAATCATACAAATAATTCTATACATAGATATTGCATGTCAGGCAGTGAAACAACAATTTCCCAAGTATTATCCATAACAGGTGTCAGTCAGTAATGGTAATAGCCGATGGTAAAATATATATATAATATTCTCTTGCAGAGTTTTTCATTTTGCTATACTCTAATCACTGGGAATGCTCTTTGTTGCAGTTGTGGTCCCTGCCCCAAGCAAAGTAGCTGATGACTCTGGCAGTGAACCTGGATATGGCTCTCTAAGTGGAGGTTTCAGCAGTAGAAATGGAAAATGTAACAATGGAGGTCCAAGGATGGGACAAACCCATGGAAATTTAGACTGCTACCCAGTGGGATATGCTTCTAGGACTGTGGGTAAGCAGTGCATCCCTGGAGGTGATGAGTGCAGCAAAAGTGGTGGGTGCAACGCCACCAGTGGTAGCTATGCCTCCAGAAGTGCCCAGAGTCTCCGTGCTACCAGTTATGGAACTGGTGGGCCTGCCACGTCTGTTGCAGCAAGATGTGAGGGTGGCCACCACAGTACTAGTAATGTGGCTGGTGCATGTTGTCATCATGGCCATTCATGTAACTCTGGCACCTCATTCTTCACAGGCAACAGGATATAAATGCTTCACAACAACCAAAAGCAGTGCAGATTCTTAAATTATTTTTTTTAATACAAGGCCACTAAGGCCAAACAAAATGACATTAGAAATAAAAAGGAAAATAATATTTATAACAGTAAATAGTGCCATTCTGATAGCACTGAGTTTGACCCTTTGGTGCAAGAAATCTTGCATAGATGCAATAACCTTTTGGTGGAAGAACTTCTTGCATCAATGGGGAGCTTTCTGGTACCAGAGGAGGAAAGAAGCACTGTGAGCAGAATGGACCTGTGGGATCCAACTCATTTTATCAACTATCGCACAAAAAAGATTATGATTCTTAATCGTTTTAGGTAACATTTTCAGAGTGCACAGTGTGTTGCAATTGTTATCTTTTTGCTTCCACAAGAAGTCTGTGACTCAGGCTGCTAGTGGTCCCGTTTTACATATGGGGAGCATAACTGAGAGATTATGTCTTGGATCCCATCTAGATTTCCACTGGTGTGAGTGGGAGAGATTTTCACCAATCCCTCCTCCTGCAGAAGACCTCTGAATCTCCCCTTAAGCTATCCCCAGGAGCCCCCAGCCCAACCCAAAGCAGTATTTCAGGGTGTGTTTTGGTCTGCCAGAGGAAGGCGGAATGAACAAAATGGTCCCATGGAAATGTAGGCATAATCCAACTCTGTGACTTTCCTAAGGCTACCTCAGTACACCAACGGCTTGAGTGGGATTCAAAACCCATGTTCTCTGATCTTACTCCAAATAGCTATCCAATGGCAGGGAGGGAATACTGTGTTTTGTGATGTAAAGCCTCTATGTGCAGTTCATCCATCATTGTTCTAAGAAGGTGGGCAGCCATGTTGGTCAGAAGTAGTAGAACAAAGTCTAAGTCCAGTGGCACCTTTAAGACCAACAAAGTTTTATCCAAGGTATGAGCTTTCCTGTGCATACATACAAAATAAATAAAATAATAATAGTAAATAATATGAAGTGTAGTGGGTTAGACGCATGTAAAAACCACTGAGACGGAGTACACAACAAACACAACAACTACTGGCCGGCTGGCCAACTATATACACACCTGGGGACACCCCCTAGGTCCTGTTGGTGGGTTCAAATCTCCCGCCACGGTCCTATTGGTTCCCAAGTGGAGAGACTTGGGAGTTCCTACAGAGTCAAGTTCGGAAGTATTCATTGGCCCCTGGTGGTGGTCAGCGAACATAACATAATAATAAATAAAACTTTGTTGGTCTTAAAGATGCCACTGGACTCAAACTTTGCACTATCATTGTTCTAAATCAGTGCTTGGTAGGCTGTACTCACCCTCTACTGAATACCTATTTTGAGATAGATGAACATAATGCGTGGTGAAAAAGCATGTGTGAATCATTTGCCCTGAGTGAAAACCAGATGCCCTTCACCTCAGAAACCATTTTATTGCCCTCACCTGGAAACCCCAGGCAAGCCCAACCTTGTCAGATCTTGGAAGCTAAGCAGGGTAGAATCTGGCAAGTACTTGGAAGGGAGACCTCCTTGAAATACCAAAGGTGGGAGGGGAGGGTGGGCTTTATTCAGCCACCTTTCTGAATATCCAGTAGGGCTCAGTCACCAGAGGTCACCGGGACTTCCAGGTGCACACACACTCTCTCACACACATGCACATATTTAAAAAAGAAACATTTTTTTAATAACTCAGACCAATGACCCATCTAACTCAGTACAAATAATATCAGTTATCCATTCCTCTCCATGGTCTCAGGCAGAG